CTTTGCATTCTTTGCTACAAATATCTTCTGTAACGATTGTTGAAGCAGTAAAGAGATAAATGTCTAGTTATACTGTTATTACTAGTTTTTTACACAAAGGATAATCTTTGACTGCTTAAATATACCATAATGCTTTGTACATATAACTGATACAAAAATTAATTTATAGTACTTAAATTGTACTAAGTCTCTTCCTTACTGAGACTTGTTTGTAATTTTTTAGATGTTTTGGGATGAACCTGTTTGATTTTTCATGTGTAGCGTTCATTTTTTCAATCCATTTGCTAATTGAAAATAGATAACTTATGAATTGAAAGAGGACTGAAATATTAATTAGTAAAGTATTATAACAGTAAGTTATAGTGATAAGAGGATCAAAATTATTTTCTGAGAAACTTCCTAAAACCAATAAAATCCCCACCCTCATACAGAAGGTGTTTATGAGACAGAGGCAAATGTAATCTGGCTAACAGTTTGAAAAAATTTCATTGTTGTTATTAGCTCCTTGCTGGGTATCCTTCTAAAATTCTACCCTCTTATCTTCAGTGTTGCCCATTACATTCACTAGACTAAAATTCTGTCCCCTCTTACATGTATCCAAGTTTACTTGTCATGACTAGCAACAGCTGTACAGACCCTCTGAGGCTGCTGTGTCTTTCAAACAAGGTGTGAAAACACACATCATCTGAGCAATAGTGAAGAAGGATGACTTCAGAGTGAAGTGTCTGTCTATGAAGTGCCTAAAAATGTATGTGTGATAGGGAATCTTGAAAGTGTGATTTTCCTTTAGTTATTTATCATACTTTAGATTGGCCTGATCTTTTGACTTATTAAAGAAAACCCAAACAACCCAGGCCCAGAGCCGCCTAATATGGCATGACATTGGTGATCACAGCTCTGTCCTCAGTGAGGAGGGCTGCAACAGGGAGGACTCTGCTGGCTCTCATCTCGTTGAATTTTTGCTGCAAAAGGTCCATTTCACACTGCAGTGAAGTGCGCTTAGGGCAGGGAAGCACGGAGTACTAACTCCAGAGCTGAACACCATCGTTGTGTCCATACAGCACTGCGGCTAAGATGCAGGGCTTACTAGTTTGAGGGATATGAAACTCATCTCCCTGCACTGTGTTGGATATACAGCCTAATATCTCCAGGTGTTGTATGGGTGCCCAACCCTGTGCTATGCCTACCCAGGATACCTCTGAACCTTTCCCTGGTACTGCCCATCTCCCAGTTTTCACCATTTTTCTATTAAATTGGTGAAAGCTGTTGCCTTGGTTGCTGTGTTGCCTGTGGTGCCTGGGCCAGCCTCTGCCCCTGGTGCCCCCATCCCAGTGGGCACTCTCAGTGTCCCAGGGGCTCCAGCTGACGAGTGACAAACATTTGCTCTGCAGTTTGTGTTAACCCCCTCTGACAGGGCCAGACTCATGCAGGCAGCGCAATCACGCAGCTCAGCGTGACAGCAGGTTTGCTGCAGGTTTCTTTAGTATGGCAATCACAAGCATCGCGCTGTGTGCACTGACTGAACAGCATGCAGTAAGTCCAGCAAGCCAACGGTCTGGTTCCAAGCTCCCCTTCACATACTTTAAATGAGTTTGCTATATGCTGTCATGCATTTTTATTAGTTGTCTTTTATAATGTCTCTCTCATAGGCTTTTAATTGATTTAATCCGTATCACAAATGCTATTCATCTACTCAGTTCATGCTGAACCTTCCCCAGGCTATACATCTTGCTCCATCCAGGTGTCTTACGTAAAGTTTTATTAGTTCATTGATGGAGTAGAGCCATCCTGCCCATTAATCGATTATCTGTTCTTTAGCAACTCTTGCAATTTCAGGTACACAGCTACAGTGATTTTGCCTCATATTTTTCAGGGCTCTAATTTAGCCTGCGTACTGCTTTTTCCAAGTGCCACCATTATTTGGGGTACATAAAATTTTGTGTTGTCCAGCATCCCTAAGAATCTCCACTAGTTGTCTCAGAAAAAAGAAAAAAACAAAAAAACCAAAAAACCCCAACCAACCAACCAAAAATAAACCTAAAAAACCTACCTGTAAAACTTTATTGTACTTTTTCTTTGTGGCTTCATAGCATGAAATAAATAAACTGGAGTAGTATATATTGTATTCCCTTCCCAACACTTCCCAGCTGGATAGTCTTCACATGTTAAAAACCGTTGTGGTGTAGAGCAATGGCTCTCCATGACCTTGTGCTCAGCCACTAGCAGAGAAAAGCAGTCTGTCTGGCATTGCTGCCTCCTCCAAAATCTGACTGGTTGGTTCTCAGAACACTTGAGTCTGGAGCCACCAGGAATCGGAGAACTCCACAGATGACAGCTGCCAACAGAATGCGTCTCAAGTTTAGATTATACAGCTACAGTGACTATAGGATTGTATTGTTGAAGCTTCCTTCAAATCTCCAATGACTGCTGTTTTCCAGGTGTTTTATTTCTTAGCCCATGATGAGTTTGCCAGTATCATCCTTGATTCTGAAGTAAAAGTAGACTATAACATCTTCCACATTGATTTCTATTTTGAGCACATTTTCCTTGTTTTTATATACTTTTGCTGGGCTGTTGGGGCTACAATACATATTCTTAGAGGAGTAATAGAAGAAGAAAGAGATTTCACATATTAAGACCTCTAATGTGACTTCCTACATAGTTTGATATGCAGCAGTATCTAAGCATGTTGCAGTTAATAACATAGAAGTCTCAAGACCGACAATCTGATGCCAGCTCTCACAGAGTCTCCATTATCACATTTTATATATAGTTGAAGATTTTGGGAGCTATGCAGTGTTCCCCAAATAAATATATTTGTAAGATGCAATACATTTTGTTAAAAGGCCTTTAAATAATTTTTCTTCTTAAAATTAATTCTGTAGTGGAGATTGCACTAGTTTTAAGACTCCTGTGTTGTTTTAACAAGGTCTCTGGCATTATGAAGTCAGTAATGTTGTGTTATAACAGTGGAAAGGATTTACACCTTGGTAAGATCAGTGGAAGATGTTCACACCACCTACTTATGGCATGTAACTGGGGGCAACTGCCTTTCTTCACTGACTGTATTTACAGAGAGCTTGGATTCTCCACTTTTTCGTCCCCTGAATCACAGCAAAGCCTGGTGGCTAGTAAGTCAAAAGTAAATGGTGTGAATTTTCTCTGAACTCTTCTCATGGTATCCTTACAGTTCCAAGTAGTAAAAAGGCCTTCAAATGTTTATTTCTGAAATCAAGAAGCAGTGTAAAATTGCCAGTATAACTCAAACAAATAAATCACAGTCCTTCTGTCTTTACAGTTAGAACCCAGGCTCTCAACAATGGTTCCACTGTACTCTCTGAAGATGGGAAGAGATTATGAGATACGAGTCCGATCAAGACAACGTACCTCCGAAAAATTTGGGGAGTTCAGTGAAATCCTTTATGTATCTTTCTCTCAAACAGGCGTTGAATTTGTTCATTGTGCTGAAGGTAAATAAGCAAAGTGCAGCAAAGTGTTTTTATAACCATGCTGTCATTTTGTCTTTTCGGTGGTGTTGGTTTTTTTTTATCTCCTTACCATTGATGTTGTATGCTTGAATAGATTGATAATTCAGCCTACTACATGAAAATCAGTCAGTGAGATTGAGAATGTACAAGTTCCATATACACGTTCAGAAGTAAACTCAGCATGACTGTTTCACAGCTCATCAGAGAACAAAAATACAGACAGCTTTAAGAATCAGAAATAGTAACTGCTGTTGCACATCTTATAGAGCCTAAAATACGGTTAAATCTCATACTTCATCCTGTAAAATGAGCACTCTGGTAGCAAAGAGAATTGTCACTTCTATTAAAGTGTTATACTGCTGGCTAAGTTTGTTATCAGAACGATGTGCTTTTCTGATCTGCCTGATACTATCAAGGACAGTGAGTGTTTTTCTGATTCTTGTACTTGTTTTTGAAGTGCTATTAAAGACAGAAGAAACAGCCATTGAGCACCACATTTTTTCTATTAAAAGAATGAGACAGTGCCTTTACCTAAAGCATTCTCAGGTCTGAGCTACTAAATTAACTCTTCAAAATATGAGCTCTTCAGCAAATTATTTTAACAAGCTGCTTCACTTCATTTTCCAGGGTATTAGTGAAGGTGTTAAATAAAACCACCCATAACTCTTATCTTTCAAAATCTTGCTAGATTCCCCTTTTTAACTCTCCATATTACTGGTTTTCTTTCCTAATTTATATGAGCAGGTAATGTTCTGGGCATACGGCGTTATTTTATTAACCCCAGCTGCATTAAGTTGTCAAGGTTTTCATATGAAAAAAATTAAAATACTATGAAAATCTAAGGCCATCCTACAAGCACAGTTTTCCTCAGTCACTACTACCCAGATTCTGCAAGTTGATCCATATCCATACATCTCACACAGCAGCCATGATCTGTTTTGATTGAGAATTTGTTCTTGCCTGTTTTGTATATGACCTTTAGGAACACAGAATTAAAATTTGAATTTTCTGTCTATTAAAAATTTAAAGTAGTTAAATTCAAATGTAATATTCTAACTTTCTGAAGCAGCTGGACATTTGCAGGTCTTGCTGACATGACAAGGAGTTACTGGTTCTCCATTAAAATAGGGACCTAACACAGACATATCCAGATAGGATTTTACTCATGCCTGAAAACGTGTCCAATCAAAATCTAAGCTGGGACCACAGGGCTAAAACTAGTACCTGAATTTTATTTATATGTCACCAAAAGGACATATATTTATGTTCACGTATAGAATTCTAAAGCTTTTTGTCCAGTATTTCTTGGCCCAAAACATGAGTGAAGTTTGTATGGAAAACTTAAAATTGGGAACAAATGAGAAGAATCTAAGTCTACAGCCAGAATAAATTTCTCTATACTTTGTATTCTACAGCGTCAGCTTAAGTATAATGGAATTGCCAGTATTCAAAAGATGAAACATTTCATTTATCGGCATTATTCTTCATTCCTACCAAATTGCATTTCTCAATGACCTAAATTCTCTGTAGCCACCTGCAAGGTAAATAACAGGGAGAATTTTTTTTTTTCACTTGATGGTTCACAACATAATTAATGTTAGGCCTTTAGAAAAGGGAGTGGTATGCTTTTTGACACCACCATATTTTAGTTTCTGTGAAAGAAGAATAGCTTGCCTGTGATTTAGTATGCTATTAATAATGTTCTCTCAGCTTGGGCGAACAAGTGGTAACACGGTCTGCAGCATTATATGCCGTCAGGACTACTGGTAGCATATTCCAAGCAGGCAGAATGTTCCTCATGGCTGGTTTTGCTACATATATTGTCTGTACTAAGATCTTGTTTATATTTAAAAACTCAGTCTGCTTTTGCAAGGAGTCTCAGTGGACACAAAAACGCAGTATGGAAACTATTGAGACCAAAAGGGTATTTTTATTTCTGCTTAACAGAGAACTGTCACATTTAAGTAACCAAAAATTCTCCTGTCAGTTTTTGCCACTTTGGAATCCTCAGGCAGTGGAAGAGAAGGTTGAAATTAAAGATGCAACAGAGATACAGATTTCTGCTAACGTGTTGTTGTTGTTTCAGAAATTGAGTTTCCATGGTTCTTAGTTGTTATCTTCGGAGCATGTGGGCTGGCCGTAACAGTGATCTTAATCCTGCTGTCTAAACAACCAAGGTAGAGAGTTTTTATTTGTTGGATTTTATGTACTTGTAGCTTAAAAAATGGGTGCTTCCGTTGTTTCAAATCTGGGGGACTAGAAACTATTTTGAGGATTGTTGTCCATTCTCATAAGCTACATGGATGCTGGCGTATGTACGTACTGGGCCTTCAGCAGTGGGTATCTGATTATGTTGACAGCTCCTCTTCCTTTTGGATTGCAGAACATTTTATTCTACAGTATTTACATACTTAGTTTACTTAGGGTTTGAAGGGGATTGGTTTTTTAGTCAATTCAAATTTTGTAAATACTATTTTTACCCACATACTGTTCAAAAGTTTCACAGAAACATATGTCTATATATTTGTTTTTGTTCTTGGACTATTCCACTAATCTCTGACTATTTCTTCATTGAGCCAAGGGAAAGATTTTTTTTTCATAGGGGAGTATTTGGTCTCTGTGGATAGGCTTCAGCTCCTATAAATAACAGGAATAAAATAAAACAAAGCACAGGATTGTGTCATTTATAAAAATTATAAAATTGTGTCATTGCTAAAAATGAAACAATGACACATATATAAAAATGACAAAATGGTCTCAAAGTGAATTCATCCCCTAATATGGGGATAGGCTCTGGCAGAATAATTCAGCTTGGATGTCACACCAGTACTGTCCTAGACTATGGAACAACACCGTGGTCAAATCCCAGTGCGCACATGCTTGTTGTCAGTGGTCTTGTATATACACTTCAAAAATGAACACTGAGGTGTTTTGCATGTACCAGCATAAGGACATAAATGAAAACAATATGGTGCAGTTGGAGCAGCTCTAAAAAAATAATTCAGGCAAGCAGCACTATGCTTTGGCAGAGCTTAATTTCAGGAAGCTACTCCCTGCCATAGCACCCTGGTCGCAGAGTTAAGAGCAAGGCTCCTGATACAATGCATGACAAAAGCTTGATGTGTCAGAATGGGCAAGAACAACTCGCAACGTAGGATCAGGAGCTCACTAAGGTCAGCACAGTGAGCAAGGAGTGGCTTGGTCACAGAAGATCCTGAGGGCTGAAGCATGTCTCTGATCAGAGCTTATTAATCTTCCATGCTAATCATGACTGCTGGAGGAGGCTTTTCTCCACTGAGGACCCTTCATCTGGAAAGTTTTTCTGGACCTGTAGGCCTGCACCCTGGTTCATGTGGTGGTAGCAGTGGCAATGTGTTCTACAGAAGAGCAGGCTGCTCAGGTTTCCAGTAATGCAAAATATCCAGGCTCAGTTTCCTCCTGTATCTGAAAAGATACCAATTCATATTTCCCTCCATTCTGATCTCACAAGATCTGAACCAGGCTCCCTAGGACAGATGCCATAGGGTTAGGCCATACTCTTTTTAAGAGTTGAGAGATGCAGGCTTGAATTATGCAAGGCTAAGAAAGGAGCAGAGTGCAGTTCTCCTTCCTGAATGATTTCTCCAGGCAGCGAGTGGTAAAATCCTTTGTCTGTTGCCTTAGAAGCAGTGCCTGGTCCTGTCAGAATAGCTGATTTGTGGATTCACATCTAAGCGCAAGTCTTAAACTGGTACCATGAGAGCCCAGCCAGTGCACAGCTAACACAGCCCCTCCAGGGATTAGGTGGAAAATTACAGGATTTCTGGCTCTCATTGAGGCTTGCTGGGCAGAACTTTGAGGGTCTGCCAAAAACAGAAACAGCTGGGGGATTTCAGCCTTCCATAGTTAAGCAGAAGGTGCCTAAATTTCTTTCTAGCACTCATAAGACTCCTCTCATCCTCTCTGGACCTTACCAAGGTCACTAACAAGGCAGCAAAACTAGTATTTGGATTTGGATCTACCATTCCCACAGCTTACTTTCTAAAACAGGCAAGTAACCCAGTATAAAGAGAATGTTGAATTTTCCTTTTCGGAACTACATTTTATCTGTTTGCAAAAGAAGCAGGGAGGTAAAATGGAGGAGATATAGGCATGACCTGCTATTGTTGGATTATTATTAATGGGAAATCATCCTTCTGTTTGGGTTCTCCTTTTTTTTTTTTTTTTGGTCCCCTCAAAGAATTAGAAATTCACTTTATGAAGGATTAGAATAATATGTATTTCCACAGTATGTACATGCAGAAGCAAGTTACTAGTCCTTTCTCTACAAGGGTAAAACCCTGTTGTTATCATATATTACTTGTTATATTAATAATTCGGAAAACAGAAGTGTCATAGAGATGGCAAAATACTAGCCTAAATTTTTGCAGTTGTGTTTCTGTTTTATTTATTAGTTCTAAAGTAATTCCCTCTTTTCACCAACTCTCTTTTTCTATTCCCCTATTTAAATTATTTGACTTATGCAAGACTACTGTGTCCCTGAAAAAAAAAAATTGGCAAAGTCACTCTGCACACTGAGGCTTGTATCAGGTTCCTTTGAAAATTACATAAAAAAGGGAAACTATTGACAGAGCTCTAGGAATTTACTCTATATAGAGCATTAAATTATCAAAAAAAGACCGGACTCCAAAATGGATTCCCACATAAACGTATGTGATTTCAACAAGGAAGGCTGCAGAAAACTTGGGGGGTTTATTTGCAGTGAGAGAAAACAATCATTCTTTTCCTTAGGACTATTTGAAATTGAATCTTCAAACATTTCAGTTTTGAAGTAATTAAGTATAAATGCAATGTAAGGCTCTCTTCTTTCTAACTTCCTCGAAAAGGACCACTGTCAATTAAAAGCCATCATTTATTTTTTCCAGGTTAAAAATGCTGATTTTTCCTCCTGTGCCAGTTCCAAAGATTAAAGGGATTGACCCAGATCTCCTGAAGGTAATATTGTGCTCTAAAATCTACAGTGGGAATCATTGTAGTAGTAGCAGGTGATAATTGTTGTCCCAGGCAGAAAAATTTTGTAGGAAAAAATTATGACATGGGGGAGTTGCCACAGAATTAGTCTTCATAAAATAATAAAAAAAACCCTTGCAATTATTAAATCAGCTGCAGTTACCTTTCCTTAAATTAATATCATAAAAAGCACAAGCATTTTTATTATTCCCTTTATGACATTCTTTTTTTCTTGCTTTATAGAAAGGAAAGCTAGATGAAGTGAACTCCATCTTAGCCAGCCATGACAACTACAAGACGCAGCTATACAATGATGACTTGTGGGTTGAGTTTATTGAGTTGGACATAGAAGACCCCAAAGAAAAGAACAGAGTCTCAGATACCAACAGGCTCCTGAGTGAAGATCATCTGAAATCACAGAGTTGCTTGGGAGCAAAGGATGATGATTCTGGACGGGCCAGTTGTTGTGAACCAGATATTCCAGAGACAGACTTCAGTGCAAGCGACACATGTGATGCCATCTCTGATGTTGATCAGTTCAAAAAGGTAACTGAAAAAGAAGAGGATCTCTTGTGCCTTGATAGAAAAGATAATGATGAGTCACTGCCAAGCCTTGCCAACACAGACACCCAACAGCCACATACAAGTACTCAGTCCGAAAACAGCCAGCCATGGCCACCTTTTGCAGGCAGCATTGACTCAGCTAGTCCATCGGTCCATACTCAGCTAAGTAACCAGAATTCATTGACAAATACGGACTTTTACGCGCAAGTGAGTGATATTACTCCAGCAGGCAGTGTGGTACTTTCACCAGGGCAGAAATCCAAGGTGGGGAGAGCACAGTGTGAAGGCTGCACAGAACAAAACTTTACCATGGACAACGCCTACTTCTGTGAGGCAGATGTGAAAAAATGTATTGCTGTGACTTCCCACGAAGAGGATGAGCTGCACGTTCAGGAGCAAAGCTGTAACGAGGATGCTTACTTCACCACAGAGAGCCTTACCACTACCGCTATCAATCTTGGAGCTTCAACAGCAGAAACCCCAAGTTCAGAGATGCCTGTCCCAGACTATACATCTATTCATATTGTTCACTCTCCACAAGGCCTTGTGCTCAATGCAACTGCACTGCCTGTGCCAGATAAGGAATTCAACATGTCTTGTGGCTATGTGAGCACAGACCAGCTGAACAAAATCATGCCGTAGCTCTTCTTTGACTAGGTGTGTGCAGTATTTCACAGCAGAGAGTCAGCTCGGGCTTGTATGCTGAAACCAAAATGAAGTCTAAAAGTTTCTTGTGGTTCTTATAATTTTAACTGAAATGTTGCAACATAAAATATTCATCAGAATATTCCTATTGTGTTCTGTAAATATTATCTATGAATTTGTCTTGAGACTGTTTTACTAGCAGTGACTGTCTTGTTCTTGTGGGTGTTGATTTTTGTGATACTAAACATTGAAATTACTATGTGTAATGTAACGTAAATCATGCATTTTGATAAAGCTAAAAATCAGGTGGTTTAAAGTCTAAGAATTTAGTAAAAACCGTGCTGTTGGCAGAGATCTTTATATCAATATTGGGGAACTGAATATATAGGTGAAAAAACAAGAGTATGTTGAATAAATAACACATCTATTTTGATTTATATAAATTAATAAAATATATTTTAATATTTCAGTCATAAAAACATAAACGTTTTCTATTACACTACACACTGTAGTTCAATTATGAAGACCCATCTAAATAATGTAATTGCTGCAATCTTAAAAAGGAGTTTTCTGTTTTATAAAAGTTTTGTTTGCAGCAAAAAAGAAAAAATAGATTTTTACAGAGGCATTTTATACCTCCAAAGAAACCTGTAGAGAAATTTTGAAATATTGTAGAAACTTAAAGTAACTGATTCTATTACTTTCTTATGGTAACTAATATAAAAATATACATTCAATTTAAAGTTTTGTAGAAAACTTTAAAATGTACAGAATATTTGGGCAAATTATTCTGTTCATCAGATTCTGATTAATGCTAATAATATACTTTTTTATAAGCAAAATGATGTTGACCACGGTATTAAACAGTGTGGAACTATACTTTCACTGAAAATTTTTGAGAACACATGAATAAGCTCTGGTGACTTAGCAGCATAATCTCTTCACATTTGACCAACTTCTGAAGCCCTCCTACAGCCAAAGGTATCACTACATTTATTAGTTTGCGCCACATAAAGTCTTGATTGAAAAAATAAAATAAGGACTTCAGGAGTTAGCCAGCAGTTAATTTTTAAAGATATAACAGGATTAAAAGACTTAAGTGGAACCAGGGAATTGAATACAGTATTGTTCAAAAGTGTTTTTCAGTTTTGCAGCCTAACAGCCTCTCCTCTGACCATGTTAGGCAGATTTTGAGAAGGACAGGAGAGAAAACTGAAACTCAGTGGGAGAGCTCTCTTTGTTCTTACGCATATTAAGAACTTGACGGAGCTTTGCAATGAACTATTATTGCTTCAGAAGTTACCTTCCGAGGCCATGGTTTCATCATAGCAGGGTTCTTCTTAAAAGGCAAATAGGGACGTTAATTTCTTCTCTCTGACCTGAACAGAAGTGCATGAAGTGCAGCGAATGCAGGTCTTACTCATGATGTCTCCCACTGAACTCACTGATGCTCTCTTTGTGACCAAGGGCTACAGGAGTGGGCCCAGCTATTGGGTGGGATTTTTAAGTTTAGCACGTACTTTATGGTAAATGTGCATTAGATATTCTGCTAATTTGCTGCTATATTTTTCTAACAGCTACATTATTTAGTTTCATATAAAATTTCATAGATGATAGACACTAATGCAAGTAATGCCTATGTGTGTGTTTGGAAGAAGTTTCTTACTCTGTTTCTATTGCCAAAAATAGTTAAATACCTCAATCAACTCAGAATGTCATTTTGGTACTTTACTGGTCACACAAGCCATTATACGCCGGTCAGAAGATGTGTCTTTCAGTTTCTATTTAACTTGCCTTATGTCAGTGTTTTGTTTGTTTTTCTCAGAGTTTAATAAATGTATTGTCTTTGATCTGTCCTGACACAATGCGTTTTATTGCAGATAATTAATTTTTTTATGGAAAACAGAGATTTTGTAAGGAAAAATCAAGTATTTCTCGTTGAGTAAAGTAGAATGCAGCTTTCCTTAGAACAGAAGCAATGCCTAATGAGATCAGCGTTCTCACTTATTGATATGTATATATTTAAAAATAGAAGCACGGACCTAAATTTATAGATGGAGATAGGACATGCTGTACCCAGAACTGGCCAAGACATGTGTTACTAATTTAGCAGACCAGTTTACCTTTGGCTGGAACAGCCTGTGGTTGCAAATAAATAAGGTGCACTAGTTCAAGATTTATACCTACAGTTGAATCCACAAATCAGACATTCAATAGTTACTTGTAGTGATAATTAAAACCTAGCAGTATATGAACTCTGAAATGTCAGATAGTCTGTCTCTGTGGAAAATGCCGTATCTTGAACGTCTCCTAGTGTGTAACCTGGTAATGTACTACTGCCTCTCTTCTCTCTCTAGCGGGAGGGAGGGAGCTGTTGGAGGAATCCAACTAGACAAGGGTAAGCCCTTTCCTCCCAAGGGAATCAGGGTGTGATTCCATTCCTCTACACAGATGTCCAGTGCCATTTAAGGTACATAATGGGGCTTCCAGGTGCTGGTCCAGAACTGCACAGGTCTTGTGTAGATTCCGTCTTATCTAAAAGCCTGAATGATGGTAGATGCCCATGTTTCGACACTTGAATTGCTCCCCAGTGGAATAAAACAGCTCCAGGAATGTAAACATCTTTGTGTCAGGTAGGTCTAAGTTACCATTATAGTTAATAGTCTAAAGAGCTATGTAGCTGACCAGATAGAGGTGTCTGCTTTAGGTGAGCTGACAGGGGCTCTCCATTCTTCAGACTAGACTGGGAGCATGGACATCTTGCCCACATTCAGATGCCAAATATATTTGTGAATTAAGGTGTCTTGATGTTGATCTGAATTTCACCTTAGCTGAACTGTCGGACAAGGTAAGCCAGAGAGGGGCATTGGTGTTCTCTTACACTGTCCGTAGAAAAAAATTCGTCTGTAGAACTCAACGCAAATGAACTATCAGGATGAGTAAATATGCTTGCTTATACCTCCTGCTTGAAGAACTAACCTTCAGAAGGCTTATGCCTTTTATAAGGCTCTAAAAATACCTGAGCTGCAGTGGGAGTTGGAGGATTCACAGCTGGACTTTAAGAAACGGCGGTGAAGACGGTGGTTCACCACTGCCACGTGGGGAACTCCAGCTCCCACTACGCTCACCTGTGCTAGTTCCAGTGCTCTCTGCCAGTGCCCTTCCATGAGCTGATCCAGCTTTCTAAAACCTGAGAAAATCATAAAAGTGAAGTATCAGGAGTTACCTTCAGTTGATTAATGAGTTAAACTGATTGAGCAAAGTCCTGGATGAACGCCAGGGAAGAAAGGCAGGACCACATGGCCAAGAGCAAAGGAGGGAGGAGCTAGGGTGATCTTCCCAGGAGTATCTTCTTGGCAAAAACAGCTCCCTCATGCAGCTCACTCATGCAGACAAGAAAGAGGAGGAACACACAGCTCAAGGTAGGTGTGTGTTGGCAGGGACATAGTGTAATGACCTCTTTTGGTGGTAACTATCACTGTGGTCAGCTTAAAGGGACAGTGAAAATCCAGCTTGAGCTCCTTTCCACCTCCAGCAGCAGTGCAGCTCAAGTGATCACATGCCTAATGACCGCAGTCTGCATACAGTTCACAGATGGGTGTTCAGAAGATAAATCCAAGTGTCAGACTTGAACTTTACATTTTCTAATGGTAATCCGCTGTTTTCCTACAGAACACAGCAACCTATTATTTCAAGATATGATGCACTTGCCAGATACAGAAAAGCTTACATTACATGGTTGCAAAGCAACCTGTTTATTTACTCACCGTTTCTTTGAAGTGGGGGAAAATATATCTGTGCTCTACAGAAATTAGCTGTAGGTGGACCTGTACGAGTGGTGTAGATGACAACAACTGGATTCAGTTGTAATGAAAAGCAGATGCAGCTATTAAAATCGATGCATCTAGTAAGCTGACACAAATATTTGATAGGTTTAATTTTTTTCACTACAGGCTTTGGTATTTCTTTTGCATAATATGAACTTCTTTAATATATGAAATTTAGCTGACTAATGATACATTAGCTTCCTGAAGTTAGTCTGAGAAAGCAGAGAATCCTTCCACATCATGTTGCAAATTGTGAGAGAACATAGCTGAACTCCCCTCCTCCAAACTGGAAGGAATAGAAGTCTGCAGAAGGCTTAGTGGGAGTAAAAGCATAGTTGAAGAGCTGACAACTTTCTGTAGCTTCCTGTCATGGATGCTATAAATGACGCTTCCACTACGGTCCTTGGTCTGCTTTTGAGCTTATGCTGAAGGAAATAAAATCTGTTCCCTAGGAGACACTTGAGGCCTAGGCATGCCAGGAAACTGATTCCTCACACTTCTTGCTTCAGTAGTAAAACTAACAGAACATACATTTTACATATTTTTTCATTTGCATATGACACCTTATGATATTATGCCAGAAAGATAGGAAGTATAGAACCATACAGTGTCGGGTAACTTTCTCATACTAAGAAAGAAGTTAAATTTTGTGGTCTATTTCGCAGCAGCTATCTGTGTAGCACGTACAGTGCTGCAATCTCGAGTTACAAACAAAGGAAATACCAACCTTGACCTTCTGAATGGAAAACTTCTTCAGGAACTAATTCTGTGAGCCAACTAAATGGAGTTTCCTTGGAAGAGTAAGGCACAATTTTGGAACACCATTCCTAGTGGAACTGTGCTACCAAATGAGTGGGTCCAACTCTTCTTCAAGAGCCATCTGAGCGCCGTATGCTCGTTACCCAGAGATGTTATGATCATTATGAGCACCCTGTCCTCCATCTGTGGCCTAGCTGTGTGGGATTCCTTAAGCTAACGTGTTAGAATTCCTTCTTTGTCATGGGATATTTTTTGATGGAATCAGAAAGATTTGCTAGTGCCTTGAAATGCCATGAAAACTTTCAAGTGAAATTTCCTGAGCCAAATTACTGATGTGCAACTCTGGGCAAGGACCTGTGTTAACTACAATTAGATTTGTAAACCTACAGTATTTAAAAATTCAAAATTTTACTCAAGCATAGTTTATAAAATTTGTAGTGGTAGTCAGACTACAAGAACAGGCTAGCCGAAGAATGACCTATTTTACAAAAAGCTCTAGGGACACAAAGTCTCTTGCTTTTACAGTGTAAATAATGGCAAAGTTGTATCACTTTCTTCAGAATGTGATTAGTATTACTTAGCTGATTTCTACCAAACACCAATCAATCAATTATAATAACCTTCTGAATTTACATCCTTGAGGAATGTATTAATGACCGTTTAGAAGCAAAATGCATGCTTTTAACCTGGCACTAATAGTTGAGCACTGTCACAATC